AAATCAATAAAATTTTTAATATTAATCAATAGGATTTATCTGTACTAGATTGTACTAGTTCTAGTATACTATTTAATCTAAATTATTTGCTAAGTTTTAAAATTAATTATTTTGTTAAATATTATTTTAAAATAAATTAAATTTAATTATTATATAAAAAAACTTTGATAGCTCTAACTATTTTTATAAATTTTATAATTTTTTTTACTTTAAAAATTTTAGTTTATTCTAATTTTATATAATATTTATAAGTTATCTTATAGAATATATTTATTTATAAAAAAATTTTAATAAATAAATTTAAGTTTATTTTTAATAAAAGTTGTAGTGATAGTTTACTAATTTAAATTATATTTTTTTTAAAATTTAATTTAATATATAAAAAATAATTTAAGTTTAAAAGTTTTAATAGTAAATACTGTATTATATAAAAGGTTTATATTAAAAAATAAGTATAATTTTTTTAATTTAAAGTAATATAATTTTAAAATAAAATTAATTTAATAATAAAAAAAGTTAAAATCAAAATTAAATAATAAATTTTTTAAATTTGATTAAAACTTTAGAAATAACTTGTATAACTTATTATAAATAGTAATAATTTATAATAATTTTTAAAAAGCTTATAATATAAGTAATAATTATTATAATATAACAAATAATAATTTTTAAATATAATAAGTTTTTAAGCTTTTTTATAAAAATAAATTTTTAATTTTTAAAATTTATTAATAAAATATAACTATAATTAATATTAAAAGTATATTAGTTCTAGTATATTAAAATTAAAAAAATTAAAATTTCTAATATATTTCTTTAATTAATTTTATTATTAATATAAAAAAATACAATTAAACTATTTTTGAATAATTATTAGATCTTTGTATATAAGAGAATTAAACTTTTTATTTTTTAAATTTTTATAAAATTTAAAAAGCATACTAGTTCTAGTATAAAAATTTAAATCCAAACTATTAATTAAAAATTTTATAATTTTTATTTTTATACTTCTTAAAAAATCATGCCAAAAGCAATCAAGCATTACAATCAGTGAATCCATTTAAAAAAAGCTCGTAAAAAAATTGGTAATAAAGGTTTAATTAAATCTAATAATACAGATTCTACAACTATTAGTAATACAAATAATATATCATTTTCACCAATTGCTATACAAACTGAATCTATTAGTAATACAGATTCAATTAAATCTAATATCACAGATTTTGCAACTATTAATAATACAAATAATATATCATTTTTACTAATTGCTATACAAACTAAATTTATTATTAATACAGATTCAATTGAATCTAATATTACAGATTTTGCAACTATTAATAATACAAATAATATATCATTTTCACCAATTGCTATACAAACTGAATTTATTATTAATACAGATTCAATTGAATCTAATATTACAAATTTTGCAACTGTTAATAATACAAATAATATATCATTTTCACCAATTGCTATACAAACTGAATCTATTATTAATACAAATTCAATTGAATCTAATATTGCAGATTTTGCAAATATTAATAATACAAATAATAAATTATTTTCATCAATTGCTAAACAAACTGAATCTAGTACTAATACAGTTGCTACTCAAAATGAAGTTATTATCTTACAATCTAATAAAATTTAAGTAGATCAAACAAATAAAATAAATTCAAAAGTTCAATTACTTAATTTATTTAATCAAATTACTTAAACACTTACTTATAACCAAAAGTATAATTCAAAATTATTAGAAATACAACAAACATTTTTAAATTATATTATAGAAACAGATTATAATGAATTATTATTAGCTTTTTCTTTAATACAAACAATGCAATATAAAAAAAGGCAAAATAATAGTAAACTTTTTTCAAAATATTTACAACAAAAAGCAGGAAATTATATAAAAAATTCATTATATCAAACAGACCATGATATTAATAAATGCAGTGCTACAATAAAATTATTAGAATGTGATTTAGATACTTGCTGTTTATAGATTTGTTTAAATTTACTAATTTTACTATTTAATAATTTATTTTCAATTTTAATTTTATTTAATTGATATATTAAACTATTTATTTGATTTTCTAATAATTTTATTGTAGCACTGCATTTATTAATATCATGGTCTGTTTGATATAATGAATTTTTTATATAATTTCCTGCTTTTTGTTGTAAATATTTTGAAAAAAGTTTACTATTATTTTGCCTTTTTTTATATTGCATTGTTTGTATTAAAGAAAAAGCTAATAATAATTCATTATAATCTGTTTCTATAATATAATTTAAAAATGTTTGTTGTATTTCTAATAATTTTGAATTATACTTTTGGTTATAAGTAAGTGTTTAAGTAATTTGATTAAATAAATTAAGTAATTGAACTTTTGAATTTATTTTATTTGTTTGATCTACTTAAATTTTATTAGATTGTAAGATAATAACTTCATTTTGAGTAGCAACTGTATTAGTACTAGATTCAGTTTGTTTAGCAATTGATGAAAATAATTTATTATTTGTATTATTAATATTTGCAAAATCTGCAATATTAGATTCAATTGAATTTGTATTAATAATAGATTCAGTTTGTATAGCAATTGGTGAAAATGATATATTATTTGTATTATTAACAGTTGCAAAATTTGTAATATTAGATTCAATTGAATCTGTATTAATAATAAATTCAGTTTGTATAGCAATTGGTGAAAATGATATATTATTTGTATTATTAATAGTTGCAAAATCTGTAATATTAGATTCAATTGAATCTGTATTAATAATAAATTTAGTTTGTATAGCAATTAGTAAAAATGATATATTATTTGTATTATTAATAGTTGCAAAATCTGTGATATTAGATTTAATTGAATCTGTATTACTAATAGATTCAGTTTGTATAGCAATTGGTGAAAATGATATATTATTTGTATTACTAATAGTTGTAGAATCTGTATTATTAGATTTAATTAAACCTTTATTACCAATTTTTTTACGAGCTTTTTTTAAATGGATTCACTGATTGTAATGCTTGATTGCTTTTGGCATGATTTTTTAAGAAGTATAAAAATAAAAATTATAAAATTTTTAATTAATAGTTTGGATTTAAATTTTTATACTAGAACTAGTATGCTTTTTAAATTTTATAAAAATTTAAAAAATAAAAAGTTTAATTCTCTTATATACAAAGATCTAATAATTATTCAAAAATAGTTTAATTGTATTTTTTTATATTAATAATAAAATTAATTAAAGAAATATATTAGAAATTTTAATTTTTTTAATTTTAATATACTAGAACTAATATACTTTTAATATTAATTATAGTTATATTTTATTAATAAATTTTAAAAATTAAAAATTTATTTTTATAAAAAAGCTTAAAAACTTATTATATTTAAAAATTATTATTTGTTATATTATAATAATTATTACTTATATTATAAGCTTTTTAAAAATTATTATAAATTATTACTATTTATAATAAGTTATACAAGTTATTTCTAAAGTTTTAATCAAATTTAAAAAATTTATTATTTAATTTTGATTTTAACTTTTTTTATTATTAAATTAATTTTATTTTAAAATTATATTACTTTAAATTAAAAAAATTATACTTATTTTTTAATATAAACCTTTTATATAATACAGTATTTACTATTAAAACTTTTAAACTTAAATTATTTTTTATATATTAAATTAAATTTTAAAAAAAATATAATTTAAATTAGTAAACTATCACTACAACTTTTATTAAAAATAAACTTAAATTTATTTATTAAAATTTTTTTATAAATAAATATATTCTATAAGATAACTTATAAATATTATATAAAATTAGAATAAACTAAAATTTTTAAAGTAAAAAAAATTATAAAATTTATAAAAATAGTTAGAGCTATCAAAGTTTTTTTATATAATAATTAAATTTAATTTATTTTAAAATAATATTTAACAAAATAATTAATTTTAAAACTTAGCAAATAATTTAGATTAAATAGTATACTAGAACTAGTACAATCTAGTACAGATAAATCCTATTGATTAATATTAAAAATTTTATTGATTT